AGGTTTAGAAAGGATGTCGACAAGGTTCTACGCGGCGGCGGCGAAGCCTGAATACGCGACAGCTAAGATAGCGGTGTGGTGGGACCTGAACGACTGTCCGATTCCGGAGGGTTATGARGCTCGTCGGGTCCGTCCGAGTCTAGAAGCGGCGTTCACGAAGCTAGGTTACTGTGGTCCTGTCTCCATCACTGCCTATGGCGACCAAAAGCGAACCCCTTATCACCTCCTGCGAGGACTRTCTTCCACTGGAGTCTCCCTTGTACATACCATTTCCGGTTAGTCGAGCTTMTAATCCTCTCTGGATTGTACTCTCATACACACCAATTCCGGCTATTTCTGGTTGTAAATGCTTTCCCTTTAACTCGTGAAACAGAAAGCACATGCGCAAGCATGTACAAAAGTATGCTGGAATGGCGAAGTCGTAATCCTCCTCCGGCTACAATGGTGCTTGTATCCGATCTGCATGAAAAGGTCTTCTCTTGGGAACTGTCCCGGCTACAACAAGASACCCAATACAACCTTTTTCTGGCTTATAAATTTAAGTTTCGCTACGATTCATCTCTGTGCCCTTCTGCAGAGTGGCTCTGGGATAGCTTACTGGCAGGTAARTGTTTTCTCCTCGAACTAATTACGCTCTCCCCTCATCATCCAAATAATCACCAAAACTAATTTCTCTATTCCACAGTTTCTGAGACAAGACACGTTCTTCAGAAGTGCAGCAGTGGACAGGAGGGTGGTGAATCTACCGGAATGTTTTATTGCGAACCGTGCTCATTCGAGGGCCACCGCCTCGAGGATCTCAGGAAGCATCTCTGGAGTACAAAGCATGAACTGGGAGTAAGTAATCATCCTCTCTGCACATTGTTTCTCTGTCTAACTATTTTCATGTGTTTAACTTCTTTCCTTTCCAGGAGGAAAAAAAACGTTCACATGGAACACATGGAGGACTTCTTGACTGTGTCTCTGTAACGAGACAGTGGGCAAGGAACTACCCGGCTAAGCCTGAATACGCCACAGCTAAAATCGCAGTGTGGTGGGACATGACTGACTGTCCTATTCCAGATAAGTGTGATGCTACTCGGATCCGTCCGAGTATAGAAGGGGCYTTCAAGAAGCTTGGCTACTCTGGTCCTGTCTCCATCACTGCCTATGGCGACCACACACAAACCCCTGATCACATCCTGCGAGGGCTCTCTTCCACTGGAGTCCATGTTTCACATAGACTTTCCGGTCAGTAATTTTAATTTTCCAACTATCCATCCCTCTAGTGTTAATGCTTTCCTTTTGACTGAAACAGTAAAAAACTGCATCTGCATTTCACGGGATTTGGAAGCATGGCAAGAGCTGAATCCTCCTCCGGCTACAATGATGGTCATATCCAATCAGCTGGATTATTTCTCAGATACTCTTAGCACAAGACAACTCAAGAAGAAGTACAACCTTTGTCTGGCTTATTTATTTAGGCCTTACCAAATGCCACCCCTGCTCACTTGTGCAGAGTGGCTCTGGGAAAGCTTAGTGGCAGGTGTTTGTCCTTCCTCTCTTCATCCAATAATGCTGTGAACTAGTTACGCTGTGTCTGACCTATAGTTACTTTCCACAGATTCAGAGACAAGGCACGTTCTTCAGAAGTGCAGCAGCGGAGGTGGTGGTGAATCTTGTGGAATGTTTTATTGCAAATCGTGCAATTTCAGTGACCTACACATGGTGGGTTTCAAGTTGCATCTCGCCTGTGAAAATCATGCAGAGAGTGTAAGCATCCTTTCTGCTTGTATCAATACATTGTTTCACTGTCTAGACATCAAAGCAACAACCTGGTTAACTTTTTCCAGGAGGAGAGTATCCTCTCACTTAATCAGCGTCGCCTCGACCTGCTAGAGCAAAGTAGGGAGGAAGCTGTCCTCGAGCGTATTCGATCATCCGAGTACAAGCGAGAGCTACGTCTAGAGGCAAGTTTTTCTTAATCATAATTTATAATAGATTATCAACAGAAAGCATGAAACTGGTTTACCGACTTTTGGTGAAAGGTATACTCATTCCCAAAATTGTTTCATATACGTTTTTTAGGCTGAAAACTTACCAAAGAGCAAACGTTTTCGGGCGGGTTTTCGTCTTCTTGATAATCATTATTTACGCCGCCGACCTGGAGCTCGAAAATCTCGAACCTGCAAGAAAGAGTCACTGAAGTGATGATGAGCTCTTATGTTTCGTTTCCGTCTTTGTTTCAATATGCTCGTTTTGTTTGAACTATTTATTTTTCATTTCGTTTTGTTTGTTTAAAGCAGTGGTTA